ATGTTTGCAATACCAAATGACAAAGATTTAGTATCCAGAATGAATGAATAATAATAAAAATGTCAACCCATTTGAAAAATGAGCAGAAGATACAAAAAGACACATCGCTGATGAAGAAACAGGGATGGCAAATAATTAGAAAGAAGCCCAACTCCATTACTAATACTCAAATTAAGATGATATTTTATACCTCTGGATTGGTGGAAATTAAGCAGCTTGGCAGTATCAAGTACCGACAAGGATGTGGAATAATAGGAACTAGTCATAATAGGCAGCTGGTGGAATGTTAAAGTGAGGATGTCCCCTTGGGAAACAATTTGGAAGTATTTTGTGAAGTTGACAGTTTGCATATTGTACAACCTAATGAGTTCCCTCCTAGGCCTATCTCTAGTACATAATTTTCAAGCTGCAGTTTGGCCCATTAATGGGCCTTGCCATTTTTTTTTTAAAGAAAGTAGAATGGAAAATATCAGGGGACATCATTCATTTTACAGTTAAGTATTGTTTTATGTTTCTGGTATACCTGAATATATATATATTTGTACTGGGTTCTAATGTAAAAAGCCTCTCATAGCAGTGGTGGTCAAAAGATTTGAGAAGCGGTAAGGACATTTGGGACTCTTGCATGTGTGTGCCCTGGGCAACAAGCACAAAAATGTTCCCAACTTCATTATTTATAGCACAATACTGGGGAAAAAGGTATCCACTGGCAGGGGAATGAACCAATACATGGTAATGCACCTGCATAATGGAATATTGCACAACATTGAAAATGAATGAACTGTGGGTACGTATGGATGATTCTTAGGAACAGGTTGAACAAAAAAAGCCAGTCTGCAAAGACTGTAAACATGATATCATAATTATAAAGCTCAAAAAAGTTCCACTAAACAATTTACTTAAATATATGTGTGTGATAAATACATTTTTAAAAAGAAGAGCAGGGCGAATATCCATACAATGGAATATTATCCAGCCTTAGACAGAAATGACATACTGACTCATAAAACAACATGGATGGACCTTGAAAACACTATGCTAAGTGGAAGAATTTTGCCACAAAGGGCCACATATTAAAGCGTGTGATTTCTTTATGTGCAAGGTTCAGCATACGCAATCCATAGAGACGGGAATAGATCAGTAGTTGTCTTGCTGGGGAGGAGAGAATGGGTAGTAACTGCTAATGGGGACAGGGTTTCTTTTGTGGGTGATGAAATGTTGTGGAATTAGTCATGATGGCTGCACAATGTTGTGACTATACTAAAAGTCATTGAATTGCGCACTTTTAAATGAAGCTTATGATACGTGAATTATGTCTTCATTATAAAAAATGTTTTAAGAAGAGGAAGGGAATGATTAAAAATATATATTCAGGATACTGTTTTTATCTCTGGGAGTGAGGCAGGGGGCCTTTCCATCAACACTTCCTGGGTCCCTTCTCCAGAGGTCTGTGCCACAGCGTGACTCTGGGTGTGGTTATTGCGGCCTCCGGTGGCTGAGCGGTGAAGGGCAGCCGGGGGCCGCTGGCTCAGGGCCTGGGAGACACAGCCACCGTCCCCCAGAGTGAGTGTGGTTCTGGCCCCTGGTCCAGAGGCGGCTAGGTCCCTGCCATCTCACCCCACTGGGAAAGAGCAGATGGTCTCTTGCTGACCTGGTCTAGTTTCTTTCCCCTTTTCCTCTCTGGCTCTTTACCGCGCTGCTTTAAGGAATGAGGTCTATGTAACTCCACGGAACTCCCTGAGGGGTACAACTGGCCACCGTCTGCCTCCCTCAAGGTGACCCACCCTGGGGCCCCTGAACCCAGAGACCAGGGGCTTGAGGAGCTCATGAGCAGAAGGCTTAGGAAATAAAAATTAAGTAAATAAATAAAATCTAAAAAAAAAAAAAAGAGGGCTCAGGCACCTTCTGGGGAGGGAGAGGTCAGGGTGCTGGTGCTCAGAGAACAAGCCTCCACACTCGCCTTGTTTGATCAAACCACCTTCCCCTGGGGGTTATGAACCAGAGCCAGTGGGAAGAGCCGCCTGGGCACTTTAGAGGTGGGGCAGGAGGGGCAAGTTCAGGGAGAGCTGTCAGCATTTCGGAGTTCACAGAGTCTAGGAAACAGCATCTTCCACCCCACCCTGCTGGCTGCACCGGGGGAGATAATTAGCTTACCTGCCCCGTTTAACCTGATAGAAAGAACTTGGATATGGGGGTTGGCTCTGGGGATCCAGGCCAGGATGTCCCAGACCATCTTGATGCACTAGGGATGGCCACAGAAGGCTGGCCTGAGGAGGACTCAGCACTCAGCCCCAAAGCCCGTAGGGTTCATGGCCTCGGCACCAGGGAGGCAGCCGAGCTGGGTTAGATCGAGGCTCTGCGCTCACTGGCATGAATACCATTTATTTTCTTTAAGCTCAAGTTCTTCAGCTGCTAAACAGGTCAGTCGTCGTGCCCGCTAATTGTGTTGATTCAATTGCAGTATTGAATTAATGCATGCAGAGTGCTGAGTCCTGCAAATGTCAGCTGCTTCTGCTTGGTCGTTTGAACTTCCTCTGTGTGGAGGGGACTGAGTAGAGCTGGGAATTCTACTCGGCCTCTAGTTGGCTGGGGTTGGCATGGGGACTCTCGTATCCAGAGAATCATTTTCCGTCCACCCTCTGTCCCCAGACGCCATGGAGGTGCTGCTGATCTTTCTGTGCAGCCTGCTGGCCCCCATGGTCCTGGCCAGTGGTAAGTACCCCTCTGGGACCTAGCCCTGACAGGTGGCACCCACAGCCCTTCCTGGTGGAAGGTCCTGGCCCGTTGGGACACCATAGCTGGGGGACCTCTGAGATTCTCCATGTCTGATTGGACACCCCTGCCCCCACCTTTAGTCCAGTAAGAATGTCCAGGGAGGTGGCAGCTGTTCATAGACCTTATCCGTCCCTCCCCACAGGGCCCGTCAGGGTCTACTTTTAAGCCCTCAAGCCCACCAGTCCCCTGTAGATGTGTAGTCTGAACCTTGGGAGCCAGACCTGCCTGTCAGTCTCTAGACTCGGGCCTTGTGCAAGTCCTGTGTCCTCTTTGGGCTCAGTTCCCCATTTATAACAGGAGGAAAACAGACACTGCGTTTTGGGGATGACATAAGAATAAAAAAGGGCAATTAACATGGATGTGCTGTTGCTGCGCTGAGCTGTGCCTGCCTTCAGCTCGGGTTGGCCCTAACAGGCAGGCCCTCCTTCTGAGCTTTTCCAGCCGTCTCTGCCGAACAGGCGCAGCTTCCCAGGGTTCCTCTGTGGGGAGTGAGGCCTGGGACGTCAGGTAAGATATTTGGGAATTGACCACGCTACTTTATGTCCACAGCAGCTGATAAGGAGAAAGAAAAGGACCCCTTCCATTATGGTGAGCACACTGACACCCCACCCTGGGTGGGGCGGGGAGGAACAGCCCCACACAGGGGAGGGGGTGTGCTCCCCGGCCCTTCCCTGTCTTGGTCTCTCACCGCGTTCCTTTGACAGACTACCAGACCTTGAGGATCGGGGGACTGGTGTTTGCTGTGGTCCTGTTCTCCGTGGGGATCCTCCTTATCCTCAGTAAGTCTGTGCTTTTGCTCACTAAGAGCCTGTGTGGCTGGGAGCCCTCGGCATCCGCACCGCCGAGCAGGCTGTGGTGGTGTAGCCATCAGTGCTTGGATGTTGAACTTGGACCTCAGAAGAACCCTACTGCAGCCCAGGACTGCTGCACATAGCGGTGTGATTTGCCTAGTCCCACAGCCTGTACGGACTCCTGTGCAGCCCTTCTGTGGCCCAGGACCCTGACCGGCGGTGGTCTCTTTGCCTTTCAGGTCGCAGGTGCAAGTGCGGTTTCACTCCGAAGCCCCGGTAAGGATGCCGTGGCTGGGGACATCTGGGCTGACTCTAGGAGGGCTCAGGGATGGTCCCCCTGGCATGCGACCCCACATGAGTGTTCTTCTGGACTCTTAGAGACAGGCCACGTGTGTTGGGGGTAGGGGTAGAAGTTCTGAGGACTGCCAGGCACACTTTGGGCAGAGGAGAGGTCAAAACAATGAACATTAAGCCCAACTCTGCTCTTCTGATGTATATAGCGGAGGAGAGGTGGGCAAGAAGATGCTGGGCCCTTGTCTGGGGGACTGAGGATGGCAGGGCTTGACAGAAGGGAAGCAGAGCGCCTCTCTCAAGAACATTCTCTTCTCTACAAGCCCTGTGACATGGTCCCGGCTCGCCCCCTCCACGAGCCATGGAGAAGCTCAGGCTCCCTGCCATTCCCTTTTCTGCCCCCACATAAGTGAAAGGGTGTACCCATTAGTCCACTGCGGGAACCAGGGGAGCTCTGGGCCTTGTCCAAAGTCAGCGGCAGGACACCATCTAAGCCCCCCAGGGCCTAGTTCTCTTGGGGGCTGATAGTGAAGAAGGCCCGTGAGTTCCCCTGACTGTGCCCCCTTCAGTCCTGCCCTCTGCCCACCCCATGCACCCCATGGTGGAGAGCGCTGGAGCCCTCAGGTGGCTCAGGGGAGACCAATCCAGGCCTGCCCCAGCAAGGGATACTCTCTGGGCTTGCCAGGCAGGCCTCTTATGGAAAGTCTATGTCTCCCTCTTGCAGGGCTCCAGGGGACGAGGAGGCCCAGGTGGAGAACCTCATCACTGCCAATGGTAACTGTCATGGCCACCTGCCCAGGTGGCATGGCGGGAATGGGTGAAGGTCCTCATATGGCATAGGAAAGATGGTTACCAGGTACCGTGGCCAATCTAGATCTGGCCAGACATGCTCCCAGTGTCAGTGCCAGGAGAGGGGTCTCCAGGCATCCTCTCTGCATTGTGCCCTCACCTCCACCAAGCAGGCTACCGCTCCTGTTGAGACAGTCGCTGTTTGCGGGGCATCTGCTTTGTGTCAGGCACAATGCAAAGTGCTTTGCAGACCCCACCTACTGCACACACAGCCCCATGGT